CCCGTGTCCCCTGCATCGGCAGGCGGACTCTCAACCACTGCGCCACCAGGGAAGCCCACCACTTTAATTTTATTAATATATACTTGTTTTGCCTTGGTTTGAAATGGACTGAAAGAAACAAGCAAAACACAAACACTCATTAAGCATAATTAGAAAAAATGAGGCATATTTAAAGAAGGGTACGAAAGTAAGATGAAGAGTGAGGTTACTAAACAAAGCACACATCATGTATGTACACAGATAAGCCACGACTTCAGCTCTAACATTCTGGCAGCAAATATGAAGAAAACACTTATTATTTATTGAATACTAATCATGCACATACCAAATATATATCTCTCATCCTAACAACATATATTATCCCCCACATTACAAATGAAGAGACAGAGGTTAAGACAAGTTCGAGAACTTACTCCAAAAATCAAAGAGCAGGGACTTCCCTGGTGGCGCAGTGGTTAAGAATCCGCCTGCCAATGCAGGGGACACAGGTTCATGCTCTGGTCCAGGAAGATCCCACATGCTGCAAAGCAACTAAGCCCAAGCGCCACAACTACTGAGCCCACGTGCCACGACTACTGAGGCCTGCGCGCCTAGAGCCCATGCTCTGCAACAAGAGGAGCCACCTCAACGAGAAGCCCATGCACCACCGCAACTAAGAGTAACCCCTGCTTGCTGCAACTAGAGAAAGCCCACACACAGCAGCAAAGACCCAACATAGCCAAAAAATAATTAATTAATTAAAAAAAAAATCAAACAGCAGGTAACAGATCCATCATTTGAATGTAGGTCAGTTTGACTCCAAGGTCTATATTCTCACAGACTATGTTGCCTCTCTAATATTAAATATATGTACTTGAATACACAAGACACACTAAAATAAACAAAAAATTAGCCATATTTAATTTTAAAAGATTGAGAAATAGATGGGACTCCCATGATTGATGACTGAATGGAATCATTTACTTCAGATGTATCCAACATATTCTTGTTGGCTATCATGTAAAGTTTAAGAAGTTATAAAGGAATGTATATATATATATGTATAACTGAGTCACTTTGCTGTACAGCAGAAATTAACACAATGTTGTAAATCAACTATACTACAATTAAAAAGAAATAATTTATCCATTTGAGGAAAGGGAAAAGAACAGCACAAACACTAGGCCCAGAGGTGGCATTCAAAATACTAAAAGGCTAGAGAGACAGTGAAGGAAAAAAGAAAGACAAATGAACGATAATGAATATTTGACAATGAATGTAGTCTCCTCTCTTTCTTTCTACATAAAATTGTTTCATGTAAGACCATAATCACAAACCACTTAGGTTAATTTTCTTTGTGACTTAAAACATATTTGCCACTACCACAAACCACATCAGCAGTACATTAAATTTTCTTTGGAAATATAAGGTGACTTAAGTAGAAGGAAAAATTAAAGACAGATTTGTTTTCTTCTTTCTTGAACTAGAGAATCATGACAATAAATAGCTCTTTTTCAGTTCTTTTAGAACTTTGAAATTATGCCCATTAACAAAGTTACAAACGACAGGACTCCTTCTTTGGGAGAGCACAAGAGAAAGAAAAACTCAGTTAAGATTTTTCTTTCTTTAGTAAATTTAATAAATATTTTGGAATGTAGATTAGAGTAGGCAAATTACAACCCCTGGGTCAAATCCTGCCCACTGTTTTTATAAGATTTATATGGTTGCAAAAAGAATTAAATAATATATGATGGCATGTGAAAATTAAATGAAATTCAAATTTCAGTGTCCATAAATAAAGTTTTATTGGAATACAGTCACTCTCATTCAGTTACATATTGTCTACAGCTGCACTTGTGCTATGATAGCAGAGCTAAGTAATTATAACACAGACCAGAAGAGATAAGCCTGCAAGCCTAACTGGACCTTTACAGAAAAACCTGGCTAACTAACGCTAATGATGATGAGAGTTAGGTAAGCATTACTTAGAAATTATTTTTAAATTAGATAAAATTCAGAATTTTATCTTAACCTGACTCAAGGAGAAATGAAAAGATCTTATGCAAAGATGCAATTACGCAACAAAAATTTACATTTATATTCAGAAGCTCTTCAAACACTAGAAAATGGGACATATCACAAATATTTACCTGAACCATTAAACTTGGCCATTTCATAACATCCAGCATTATTTCTAAAATGGTTTCAACTGAATATACACAATTAACCTCTATTTTGGGTACAAATAAGATATTTCTTTTTTTGTTTATGAAGATCATTTGCATGAATAATAAAAAAATAATTATGAAATGGGGCACTAACAGAAACAATTTTTTCGTAATACTCACCTTTGGAAGGCCAGGCTTGGATTTGAAATTTTTGTTTCTCCTATAGGGATAAATCATACATTAGGAAAAAAAAAAAACCACGGTAGAGACGAATGATTTCAAGGTCTCTACTAAAACAACAGATTATATACGCATTTCCAAGTTATAGGTCGCCTAAATGAAAACACTGTCTAATTCAACTAAGCAGTCACCTTTGGGAAGGAAGGATAAGAGAAGAAAAGAGATGCCTGCTCTGTAATACAGGTACAAACACATTTAAGCCCGATGATAAGTAACATAATGTACATTCAAACCTGAAGTTTCATTTTCTTTTGGATGTTAATAGGGCTCTGTATTCTTAAACCTACAGAGGCATTGTTTCTGTCATTTTAAGCTTAAATAGATGCCTAATTTCATGAATTTTTAAAATGTACCTTTCACTAAGACTCATGATCTTCCATTTTTAGAAATTAAAAATTCTCTTTTGCCCTTTTTTCCCTTATTCATAATTCAGTATCACACTTATATCAAATCTTTTTTTTTTAATGGCTACATACAGGGAATAAAGCCCAATGCTTATGAACATGGGCTGGGGTGTCAGGAAGACCTGGGCTTGAATCTAAGCTCTTTCACCTACTAATTCTGGAGTATAGCAAGACTTATACAAATTGAGCCTATTAACACTGTTAAGCAATGATTTAGGGATTAAGGAATCCAATTCAGTCACACTTCTAGCTAGTGGTCAAAAAATATGCTTTGGAAGTGTCTGAAATATGTTGATATAGGTAGCTAAGAACTTTTTACTTGTCTACCATGCATGGTTATATCTATGTCCTCAAACCAGTTCTAAATCAGGTAAGGAGGAATGGCAGGCTTGGGTTAAGTGTTATACATCACCATACAGGTGCCCCTTGAACAACACAGGTTTTGACTGTGCAGTTCCACTTATAAGTGGAATTTTTTTCAACAGTTTTTTCAAAACTGTATGCTTCTTCTCTTGTTAATTGTCTTTCAAGTTACTGTACTTGATCTGCGGTTGGTTGAATCTGTGGATGTGGAATCACAGATACTGAGGAGCAGTGGATATGGAGGGCTGACTACAGGAAACACACAAATTTCTGACTGTACAGAGGGTTGGCACCTCTAACCCATGCAGTGTTGAGGGGTAAACTGTATATGGCCCCATTCACCACTTCATAAGGGATTTTCCTGCCCAATTTGTTAGGATTGTCAGAATTAAAGGACAACTGCAGTTAAAGACTAGGAATCCTAAAAAGAACTATCAGTTTTTGCTCTCTCTGGATGTAGGGTCTGTTAAAGAGCAATAAAGAGTCATCTCCATAATAAGTATATTCAGTCTGATTCTCCTGGTGAGATGAAAACAAACACCAGCTTTATAATACAGGAGACTGTCACAGCTCTAAATTCTGACTACTTTTGAGTCTTGGTTCACTCAAAATTCTACTCATGAAAATAATGCTTCATGATCACCTCTCTTCTTTTTTAGCCAGAAATTTTAAATCAGTCATAAAAAAGCAATCCACATTATTGATCAATACTAACGTGAGAATTCCATGGGCTCTCTCCAAGAGTTTGCTGCTAGCTGAATTAGCGAATATCCCATCTTTATCAAGCAAGGAGGTGTTACTGGATAGTCTGCTCTGGCGAATCCCAGTTCTGCCATTCCAGGCAAAATCAAATGTTTCACTGTAAAAATTAAATAGAGTACAATTTGCTTTGTGAATTGAGACATCCCTAAAACTCTATACATTTCTTAAAAAAGTAAAATAAAACTTTAAACACCAAAGTTAACATTTAGAAAAAAAGCTAAACCAGCAGAAAATGGTTTTATCAGAGAGATTACTGATTAATTTGGCTTAATTTGGCTTATCTTTTACTCTTTCAGAACAAAAAATTTCTTTACTCTTTCAGAACAAAAAATTTCTATGGATTCTAGCACATTCACGTTCAAATGTGCATGAAGGTGAGCACATCATATAGCTAATACCTTTAAATATACCACTTAACAAGCAGTAAATAATATAATGTATTAAAATATAATGTCATGGCTTTTGTCTGTGTTTGAAGCCCAAACCCTCTTTCCTTTTTAAGAAGGATATATTAGCCACTGAGTGTAACTACTTCTTTGAGTTTCACTTCTTTTCGGAGAATACTCATGTACGTAAGACATTAATAAAAACTGTATGCTTCTTCTCCTGTTAATTGTCTTTCATTAGTTTAACTTACAGGCCCGCAGCCACTGAACCTAAGAAGGCAGACGAAAAGTTTTTTCTCCCTGACAGTTTCATACTATATAATTTGATTTATATAACATTCGCAAAATAACAAAACTACAGAAATGAAGAACAGATTAGTGTTTGCTAGAGGACAGGAAAGGGACATGGAAGAAGGATAATACAAATAAGCAGCATGAATAAATTCTTTTATGATGATGAAAGAGTTCGGTATCTTGATTGTGGTGTTGGTTACACAAATCTATACATGGGATAAAACTGCAAAAAACTACCCATACACACACACACACACACACACACACACACACACACACACAGATTTTTTTAAATGGTGAGAACTGTAGTCTAGTTAATATTAACGTAACAATGTAACTTTCCTGGTTTTGATAATTTACTACCAGTATATAAGATGTCATTTTAGGAAAACTGAGTGAAGGGTACATAGGACTCTATGAACTATTTTTTTCCTTTGTACTATTTTTGAAACTTCCTGCTTTTGAAAAATGGAATATAACCTTAAAATATTTATTTTCCAATTAGTTCTTTATTTAAACTATACTACTTTTTAGATAGCCAGGACAATATCTTTAAAATCTTGTAATAGCTTTGTTCTGTCCTTCTGGTCAAGCTTCTTACTAAGAACAACAGAAGATAAAAAAATAATCAAACATGCAAAACTTTATCTACAAAAATTTTCATCAATATCAAGAAAATTAGAAACAACCTAAATAACCAAAAATTGGAAATAAATGAAAGAAGTTATATTGTAACCACCCCCATGGAAGTCTATAAGGTCTTTAAAAACCATGTGGGAGCAGCAAAGGAAACCATAAACAAGACCAAAAGACAACCCTCAGAATGGGAGAAAATATTGGCAAATGAAGAAACTGACAAAGGATTAATCTCCAAAATTTACAAGCAGCTCATGCAGCTCAATAACAAAAAAACAAACAACCCAATCCAAAAATGGGCAGAAGACCTAAATAGACATTTCTCCAAAGAAGATATACAGACTGCCAACAGACACATGAAAGAATGCTCAACATCATTAATCATTAGAGAAATGCAAATCAAAACTACAATGAGATATCATCTCACACCGGTCAGAATGGCCATCATCAAAAAATCTAGAAACAATAAATGCTGGAGAGGGTGTGGACAAAAGGGAACACTCTTGCACTGCGGGTGGGAATATGAATGGGTACAGCCACTATGGAGAACAGTATGGAGGTTCCTTATAAAACTACAAATAGAACTACCATATGACCCAGCAATCCCACTACTGGGCATATACCCTGAGAAAATCATAATTCAAAAAGAGTGATGTACCAAAATGTTCACTGCAGCTCTATTTACAATAGCCAGGAGATGGAAGCAACCTAAGTGTCCATCATCAGATGAATGGATAAAGAAGATGTGGCACATATATACAATGGAATATTACTCAGGGACGGTAAAAAAAAAAAAAAAAAAGGCTCATAATATACAGTTTGAGACACAGAGAAATGAGAAATACTCCTAAATGGTATTAAAATTTACATTTCCATGTCAATTTGTCTTAGTCCAGTTTCCAAGAAAATTGTTTCAAGTCTAGGCTTGTTGAGCTTTGCTGAGATCTCAACTAGGCAAGTCAGTTTCCATAACTAATATTTCTTAAAACAATATCTTATTGACTGCTGAGGGGCTTCATATTAAATGTCCTGAAGTTGAAAATGATACTGAACTTTAAGAACCTTAAAACTTTGTATTTGTATGCATGAATGTTGCCAGTCTTTGTCTTATCTTCCCAACCAAATCACAGGGAAATGTGTTTTGTTTAACTTTATATCCCCACAGTGTCTAACATAGTGTTACCCACACACTGAAGAAATGTTGGTTTTTTAAATTGACCCCACCTGTTTTGAGCAAGGTCTTCATATTACCCATCCCAGTGCTTCATACAAATGCTGCCCCTCTTGTCTCATTTATCCCCTTACTTCGATCTCCCTATGATTTCCATAATCTCGCCTTCATTTTTTTCTTTAATCTCTCTCTGCCACCCCTCTGCCCTGCTCCTTCCAGCCCTAAGTGGGACATGAGGCCTTATGCAGCATCCTCATCTTAGCACGTGCTGGCCTCTGTGTTTGGTGCTGGGGGAATGAAGAAGACTAAGCCGTGGTCCCACTCACAGGCTAGTAGGGGACAGAGATGAGTCTGAGATGAACAGACTAGAAGAATAGGGGACAGAGACTGTCATATATCAACAGTGACAATAAGTGTGATAAATCCTGTAATTGAGACATGTACAAAGTGATATGATAGAAAGGAAGGTGAAGTAAACCAGTTCTGGCTGCGGTGGGCTGAGGGAAGCTTCTCAGCAGCAATGATGGATACGGTCTCAACAGCCCAGGAAAGAAGGGAAAGGGTTACAGGGTAGAGTAAATATATCTGCTCCAAGCTACCACAATGTGAAAGGAAGAGCAAGAAGTTCAGTGTGTCCAGAATGAGGAGTCATGGGGTGAATGTTTAAAACTAGGCTGAGGACATAAGTGAGGTTTGCTTGTGCGGGGTACGGTGTGCCCTGCTAAGAGCTGGGACTATCCTCTTTCCCAAGAGGGAGCCAGTGAAGGGATTTTTTAGAAAGAAAACAACCCTGATAGACTTTATTCCTCTGCTCATTCACTAGCTCTCTCTCCTCTCTCTCCATCTCTCTGTCTCTCTTTCTCTCTCTCTCTCTGTCACACACACACACACACACACTCATTTAATAGATTCACTATTTCCTAACACACCAGTTTAATGTAAACTCCTATATCTGATTTCAAGGGCCTCACAATCTGGCCCTACTGTATTTATTCAACTTTGTTTCCTACTGCTCCCCTAAACCCATCTCCCCTCTGAGCTAACAATGAGCCCTTGTACATGTCATTTCCCTTGCCTGAGAGCAGACCACAGCCCATGTCTTCCCACAGAGATCTCACAGTGTATTCCATAGCTTTTGGAAATTTATATGGTCTTGTACAATTTTCTTATTGTTTTGTGTCCCCCTTCTCTCCTGTAGTAAACATAAACCCTCTGGGAGCTGGAGAGTAAGCTCCATAAGATCAAGAATCACACAGATTCTACTAATCACTGTCCTCCAGTTCTTAGCTTATAGTAGATGTCCAATGAAGGTTGGTCCACTAAACACACACAATTGTAGTTAAGAAGATTTCTGTTACAGACACTATGGAGAGCAGTATGGAGGTTCCTTTAAAAACTAAAAATAGAACTACCATACGACCCAGCAATCCCACTACTGGGCATATACCCTGAGAAAACCATAACTCAAAAAGAGTCATGTACTACAATGTTCACTGCAGCTCTATTTACAATAGCCAGGACATGGAAGCAACCTAAGTGGCCATCGACAGATGAATGGATAAAGAAGATGTGGCACATGTATACAATGGATTATTACTCAGCCATAAAAAGAAATGAAATTGAGTTATTTGTAGTGAGGTGGATGGATCTAGAATCTGTCATAAAGAGAAAAATACCATATGCTAACACATATATATGAAATCTAAAAAAAAAAAATGGCTCCGAAGAACCTAGAGGCAGGACAGGAATAAAGGCAGATGTAGAGAATGGACTTGAGCACACGGGGAGGGGGAAGGGCAAGCTGGGATGAAGTGAGAGAGTGGCATTGACTCTCTGTTTTTACATTTGGTATTTTACACTACCAAATGTAAACTAGAGAGCTAGTGGGAAGCAGCCACATAGCACAGGGAGGGCAGCTCGGTGCTTTGTGACCACCTAGAGGGGTGGGATAGGGAGGGTGGGAGGGAGACACAAGAGGGAGGCGATATGGGGATATAAGTATACATGTAGCTGATTCACTTTGCTATACAGCAGAAACTAACACAACAATGTAAAGCAACTATACTCCAATAAAGTTGTTTAAAAAAAAATCATGTGGGAGAACAGTATTTAATAGCATAAAGAGCTGTCTGCATATATTATCAAATCTAAATATTGTTGCACGATACAGTTTGAAGACAATTATATTTATATACATGGAAAGAATATTTACCAAAAAAATTTTAATGAACAAAATAGACATTTATTCAAAGAAGATATATGAATCATCAAAAAACATATACAAATCACTAATCAGCACATAAAAGATACTGAACATCATTATTTAGGGAAATACAAATCAAAACTACAATGAGATACTACTTCATTCCCTCTAAGACAGGCAATAACAAAATGACAAGAATGTGCAGAAACTGGAACCCTTACCCATTACTACTGGGAATGTAAAAGGTCCGAGCCACTCTGGAAGATAGTTTGGCAAACTCTCAAAATGTTAAACAAAACAGACAGTAACCATATAACACAGCAATTTCATTCCTAGGCATGTACTCAAAAGCACTGAAAACACGTCCACACGAAAACTTGTATATGAATGTTCACAGCAGCATTATT